TTATTCGGGGGTAAATACACAAGAGCTTGACTTTTAATCGGATAATTTTATTTTTACACGAAAGTTTTGTTACCATGGAAATAACTCGAAATCAAAAGCATGATAAAATCGCGACAGCTTTAGCTGGAGCGATTTTATCTTTTGATTTTGATTGAGAGTTATTTCCAAAGGGTAACAAAACTTGAGTGAATTAAAAATAAAATTATCCTGATTTAAAATCAAGCTCGAGCGTATTTTAGGGAGATTAATACACGACAATTGCACAATTTATCGACAATGTTTAATTATTTATTAACTATTTTTGACTTAATTATAGTTGTCAAAAATGTGACAGGTAAACAAAAGTATATATATGGTAGTCGCGTTTTAATCAGTTATATAATATCACGTGTGATTTATTCAGTTGAAAAACCTAGGTAACTTTTATCCACTTAAAAAATCACGTTATTGGTCGAAATTTTAAAAGATCATTACTCTAATTGGTTGTATATTATTGGAGTGCATTAATCACAAAAAAAATTAAAAATTAAGGTTGGTAGTAACATTTAAAAATTAAATTGCTATCTTCATTGTTGCTAACTTAGGTTTTAACGTTTTTTATTCTAACTTTTTTGTTATTTGAGGTAAGTGCGTCATCTTTGGACTCATTTTAAAGGTTTTTTAATGAATATGACAAATATGTCTAAATTGACGTTGACGTTTCAAACCGGAAGTGATTGTATTTCCATTAATATTAAAGTTAAATATGTAGAGTTTGAACTCATTTTAAAGGATTTTCATGAAGTTGACAAATATGTCAAAATTAAAAGTTGAAAGTTCGAACTTTTTGGTTTTCGGTTCGAATGTTTTAGTTCTAGTTTTAGTGCAATAAAAATACGCAACATAGTGATATCTTATGAAAGATATCATCAGAGAGAGATATATCAGAGAAATGTTAATCTATTTGTAGAGTCGCTGAAGATAGCCAAGGGCCGAAATTAGTTAATCTTAAATTCTATATAGAAATATTATAAATACTACATAGAAATACTATTATAGAAATAAATCTAGAGTAACTTGGTCGGTTATAAATTTTAATAGACCTAATGCAAACAAACAAAATACAGTGGATATAAACCATGAATGCTATAGTTTTTATTACACCGTTTAATTGTACGTAAAAAAATAGGTTGACTTTAATCTAACTTATTGGTACCTAGCGTTTTTCGTTTTCGAGTTATTTTGGTTTTAAGCTTTTTTTGGTAAATTTCAACATGCTCTTTAAAACTCCATATCTCAGCCAACGTTCATTCAAAAAAGATCTACGTTGGCACGATTACTCTTCAGATGTTGTCAAATAGATTGCCATTTGTTGTATCGGAGTATCTTATACAGACTGGTCAAAAATTTAATTACTGTTTCTCATATATACTGCTCAGGTCTTATTGGCATAATAAAGTTTATTCTATTCTATATAAAATAAAAGACATAAACTTTTAATTTTATACTAACATGTAGAAAACGACACTGGCCCGAAATTGTAAGTTCATCTATTTTTTTCCATTGTAGAATTTCTTGGTGTATCTAAGTCGGTTCTTAGACGTATGATGCAAAACGGATTTGAAATCGTATAATGCGATTTTCGCTTAGCTTTATCCTTTAAAACAAATAGTATTTTAGGTCTTTCGGTATTCTGCATTTTTTCTAAGATAAGTTACACCTTTACATACCAGATAACATGAAAATCTCTAAAAACGATAAAATATCGCTTAGTCAAGTGATGTATAATGCGGTCCAATTACTTGTTTCTTTAATGTTGTGAAGTTATGTTTCAAAATAAATACGTGTATATGCAACCCAATTAACATTTTATTTCCAAATACTTAATTAAACTATTGGTTAATAGATGTCACCATGATCCAATTCAACATATTGTTTTAGTTAGAACTACAACATTTCAACGTCGTCCGCGGTGGTAACTCGAGAATAAGAATACGTGTGCGCGGTTAACATAAATTTAACACTCTCTCCACGTCTTAAATACCATCCGAACGAAAAGTATTAAAACGGAGAAGTATTTAAGAATAATCGTATTAGCTCCGCACATAGTTCATGTACGATACGGATACAAACGTATAGATAGAGGAGTATGTAAGTAAAGAAGCAAAGTAAAGCAAGCAAAAGCAGGGGGGAATGTGGGTTGCGGGCCGAGGGGCCGACGAGTCCCTGCCACATTCCGTTCGCATGCCAATAGGATCGCCGATCTCGACGACGGACGAGACACAGTTTGAGTTTAAGCGCAATTGCCGCCGACACGATCGAGTTTATTCCTTCTTCATTCAGTTTCAGCTTCAGTACGAGCGCGATAGTGCCGTGGCGAAATTGCGCGATTACGAAAAGTGTTTGGTACACATTTTGAGGTTAGGCCACGGGACACGATAAGGTGCGATGTGATTAAATACGAACGAAGATTTGAAAAAAAAAGAAAGCGATAAGAAACAAGCTGGATACGATACATTAAGATTCTTTATTTATTAGAAAATTAAAAACCAGTATTCAAAATGAATTAGAAAAGAAATCATGTATGACACATAGTGAAGAAGATTGAAATTGAAGAGATTCAAAATAAAGGAGAGAGAAAAAGGATTTTTTTGAAAAATCTATTTATATATATAATATATAGAAGTAATATTATTATTATTTTAAATTTTC